TCTAGTTGCTGACGAAGGATGCTTATTTGAAATGTGCGACCACGGCGTGTACGAAACCCGGGCTGCTCCCCGCGGATTTGCCTTCCACGAACTGGGCTTAGTCTGATTGACAAATCAAATAGCAATTTCGGCGCTATTGGAATCCGATTTACACCCTAGTGGCTGGAACAGGCGTTGCGCAGCCCTTCTTGTAGATGGATGTAACAATCCATTCTCAACCATTATTAAAAGGAAGATGGCAGATCATCTGATCCTGCTACCGTGTGGCGTTTCAGGGCTTGGGGTCTCTTCGGATCTCCGCTTCTGCTGACGGTCCCGTGGATAGTGACGTGTGCACTATCAAGAAAATGTGAAGTGCTCTGCCCAACGTTCCAAGCGTTGGCGTGCCGTCTACTTCGCAGATTGTTTCACTAACGCACTGTCTTTTGGGGCCCGTAGCGCGGATGAGCTGGAATAACTAGCGGCCGTTTCCAAACCTGCTGCTGATTCCATATCCTTTGCATTTAGCGTTCACCAGGCTTCTCAGTCGTTTCTCAAACTCTTTGTGAGTTCACGCTTCAGGAAGAGGCGCTGTTCACGATGCTCACTGCAGCCGGGATCGTCCGACGCGCGTCAAAAGGTCTGAGAGTGTTAGCGTAGACCCGGGGCTTTACAACTCGATGGGTCGACCACATATATGTAAACTAGCTAAGTGCATTGCGTCTTGAATGGTTGTCCAGTGTTGAGCTACGCTTCTCGCTGGGGTAGTAGTCAGCCTTGCGGCCGAATCGATTTGGTAGTCGACCAGCACGGCCGGATCAGGTAGTTTGGCGACGTCACGCTGTTTCCATCTCAGTTATCTGCGGCAAACGCATCGCGCAGACAGCTTGGCATAATCTAGTGCGTGGTCGTACTTCAATCAAGTATGGTATTGAATTACTGTATTATAAATGACGTGTGCGTGCAACTTTACCTATATTTCAGTCAAAAATGTGTTCAACGTTACAATGGCATAAAAATTAAAATTAAAATTCATATACAATAATGATAAAACTTAATCAGGTGTTCCTCTTTGAAGGTTTAAAATTAGTTCGTTGCGAATCTTCCCCGTGTCAATGAGAATAAGAGCCAGATAGGGAACCGTTGAGTTGCGATTAATGTTTATGCGAGAGGGTAAGCAGCGAAGATTGGATCGGGTTGTAGCGTGGGAATGGCAAACAGATAAATCGGGATTGAGCGGATGACTGGGGTCATCGAGTATCTTATGAGCGAAACTCTCACATATGAAAATCACACAATTTTTTGATTGGAGTGTTTAAAGGAATGAGATAAACACGGCTGATAATTACTAAACCGTGACGACGCTTATTGAAATCCTTTTTGAGTAGTCCAGGGAAAATAACGGGTGAGTAATAAAGTATGAGAGGAAAAACGCATTGATAAACAAAGGAACATATAGTTTCATGCTTCACTGAAAATTGTCGTAGCTTGCGTATTTGGAAGGATAAACGACGCAATCTATCAACACAGGCTAGCACATGAGAGGAATACTATGTTTAGAATACTATATTTGGTGACTTCTAGGTATTTGGTGGTATGTGTTCTGGTGATGGGTACGAAATGATAATTGAGGGTTCCAAGGGATATTCAGATCGGGAAAGACTAAAAATGCATTCAAAGCATCTAGAAGTATTCAATTGGAGACCGGATTGGTTCGAGAATGATTGCACCTGGTATAAACTGTCGGAAAATGATTCTATGTCAGATTGGTTTGAAATGGCTTGATATAAGACTACATCATTGGCATACTTAAAGGTCTTGGCTGGTGGAATTCGGGTAAGTCACTGATGAAAGTTGAAAATAAGTAGGGAGAAAACATAGCACCCTGAAGGACTCCAGAGTTATTCGCTAACGGCTTTGAAATAGTGTTCCTTTGGCTTTCGTTATTTGAATTCTTCCTGTGAAATAATCCTTGAACCATGACAATAAGTTAGTGAGGCAACCGAATGACTGTAAATTTCGTAGAAGAGATCATGGAACGGAATCAAAAGCCGAGGAATAGGCATGGAACACACTACGAACAGCATTTTGAGAATAATGCAAATAAAGTGCATCTATTCGGCTTGTACACAAACTAAAAGGAGTCATTGGGAACAATAATACCGGGTGACTGTAGCTCGGATACTGTCAAAGGTGGCTTCTACCACAACTTCAGGAGCGTCCTTTCAAACCATCTAAGACGGATATCATGATCCGGGCCGGAGAACTAAACGTATGGGTTGGTCGTCTGGCACCCGATGAGACCCATCTTGGTGGACAACATCCCTATCGCTCAGATAATGGCGATATAATTATTAGCATATGTTCAGAACACATTCTGTTCCTCGTTAGAACAAATTTAGACACCCCAAGCGTCATCTCTTCACTTGACGTCACCCCTCTTCGTTATTTTTGTTAACTCAGATTGATCATCTAGCTATTAGCTATAGATGGATAGGGTGTGTGAAAGACTGGCGTTCACAAGCATTCAAAATGCACCAGACAGCCACTGTCAAACAGCTTACGCTGCAAATCAGGTCAGAGACCAAAAACCTAAATGATTCATTCTCAAAGCAAGTTCTGGGACCTGGAGATGGAAGACGGTTATGGCAAGGGATCAGATTACCTTACGAGCAGAAGGATAACAAATCAAGTCATTGACATGGACAACCTTAATGAGCATTCATTTATCCTTCACATGATCCTCGGTTTCCGTACCCTGCGGATTACCTATCTACCGTAGACCCGGGCACCCATGAGGAGGTTTATCATCTTAAAACTACGAAAATCACGAAGGCAGTTAGGCCCCAATGGCCTATTGTCGTCAATGCTCAAGTATGACGCTGTTTCAGTTACAGAGATGTTTGCGTCCCTTAGTAACCAATCCATTTACATATGTTCAATTCCGGATTCCTGGAGACCGTTCACCATTGCTCCCATTCCTAATTAATCTTCATCTAGCATTTTATCTAAATGCTTTCTTCCTATCGCCGTCACCTCCTCTGGACTTAAACTTGCGCAGCGCTTGCAATCTGGTATTATTGTTCCCAGTTTGCGTATAAGCCAAATAGATGCACTTTGGATGCCGTCCCTTCAATGATGAACTTTATTTGCAAATCCTTAGATAGTTCTAAAAAGTCGGTTCGTTGTGTTTTCCATGACTATTCCTCGGCTTTTGGTTCCGTTCCATGATCTCTTCTACTTCTTATTGTCATGGTTCAAGGATTATTTCACAGGAAGAATTCAAATAACGAAAGCCAAAGGAACACTATTTCAAAGCCGTTAGCGAATAACTCTGGAGTCCTTCAGGGTGCTATGTTTTCTCCCTACTTATTTTCAACTTTCATCAGTTGCTTCTCTGCACGTTCATGATAAACCCGAGTTCATCTTCCAATACTTCATGTTAGCAAATACTCTAAGCTCTAGATGGCAAACGTTTTATTGGGTTCCTTTTCAGCGTGTTCGGCACATAACTAAAAATTTGTTTTGGTCACTGTGTTTTTGTGCGATACACTACGGTTCATAGATCCATCACCTCCTATAAAGAGAAACTGGTAAAAAAATCACAGCCTTTGAGTGATGTCTTTATTATTTCATTTAATTGTGGCGTTTGACACGTGCTTCTTATTGCGCGGCTCTCATAATGTGAGCCCTCGGTAATTTCACTGAATTCCTTTAAAAGGTGCTCACACATGGACGGGGGACAGTTTATCGTCGGTCGGAGACAGTAGTTTTTCGAACCTAGTCTCCACTGTTTTTGTCTTTCAGAGAGTTGGCCCATCAAATCGGAGAACAAGCTGCCGGTTTAAATTTGATACGAGGCACATCATTGTGCAATGTGTTGGTTATCACAGGTGGAAAGAGCATCGTTCACCAAGGGATCGATCTGGCTCGTGGACCTCACATTGTTGTGGCTACCCCAGGCCGTCTGGCTGATCTGTTGCGTACACAACAGGCAGTTGCAGAGTCCAGTGAGACACCGTCAAAAGAATGGTCCTTTGATCGAACCAGGGTAATTGTGCTGGATGAAGCAGATCGTCTGTTGGAGGATAATTTCGGTACAGACTTGGGATTGATAATGAGTTCCCTACCGAAAAAGCGGCAAACTTTGTTGTTCAGCGCAACTTTCAGCGATGCTGTCAGAGCCGCAGTCGATTCATCTCGCACCACTGCAATCGAACAGAATAGACGGCCACCAATATTGTGGCAACCGACCGGTGTTACCCCAGGTTCATCTGCAACAATTGGTGCAACTACGGTGGATACCCTCTCACAATATTATCTACTCATGCGACCCGAACACAAAGAGGCGTTTCTAGTGCACTCGGTAGACCAGTTTCTAACAAATAATCCGTGTTCCCTGATCATGATATTCACCAATAAATGCAAATGGTGCCATTTGATCGGCTTGATGTTGAACAGTCTAGGCATCAAAAGTGTGTTACTGCATTCATCTATGCCACAACGAGAGCGAATCTCTTCACTCACTCAGTTCCGTTCCAGTCAAGTCCGAGTGCTTGTTGCAACAGATTTGGCTAGCCGTGGTTTGGATTTCCCCACTGTGGATATCGTCATCAATCATAACGTGCCTATACGTCCCAAAGACTACGTTCATCGGGTAGGGCGAACTGCTCGTGCTGGCAAGGCCGGTCTGGCTTTGACTCTCTGTGATCTATTTGAAATCAAGCGATTAAAAGCCATTCAGGATTTTATTGGTGAGTTTGCATTCTTCATGATGTTTTTTTGATGTACGACATGGAAAAAACATAAACTGTATAAATATCAAATTCTTATATTTGTTTTATTGCCCATTAGTAATCGAATTATCATTCAAGTGATGATAGTTAGTATTTAAGTTACAGCAGATACCTATCCGCAGATTTTGTCATCTGATCGGAGTCGACGATAAGGTGTTAGTAAGACGATCTTTAGTGTAGACGATTCCCTCATCTACAGCTAATGCAGGTTCTTTGAAACCTAAATTGACTGGTCCTCCGAGCACAGTTGTTAGAATAGCTTGAGCACATGCACCTCATGATTTATGTCAACAGAATCACGTTCAGAGGTTAAAATTATGGTATTTTTTGTAGCGAATAGTATACGAATGACTGGACAAAATTCCCCAGAAGCACAACCGGTTTCGAGGTCCTTGCGGCCCGTCAGGTTTGCGTATCCGCGGCAAAGACTGCAAAACCGGTCGTATGCTTCTGCGAAATTTAGTCCAGTGATTCCTATACTGCTCATCATAAAAACACTAAAAATCGACCCTAACGTCGAGTTGACTGAGGTTAGACACATCTAGCCCACAACACCTGATACAAAATCATCACAGTGATTCTTCGAGACTTGTTCGTCTCAAGTCCACTCCCCGAGCGGTTAATTAGGTTTGCGTTGCATAAAATCGTAGTGACCAGGCTGTCACGATAATCTTCCTAAATCTTACTCAAGAACTAGTGAAATACAAGTGCTAAGAAAATTGCAATGGTTTTACCCAGCGACCTATAGTGACCCATTCATGACTGGATTTTTGGCTTGTGGAAGTACGCCATCTATCATGTATTTCGTTGAATTTCAATACGGTTCAGATAGAACAAGGAGTGGTGAACAAGCTCGTTTTCAGTGATTCGTACACATGCCAAGTACATCACAATAAATATGACGCTCTTTATATATGTAGCACTATTCAAACATGAAAAAACAATCATTTGTTTTGGGAAAGGGAGAATAACAGCATGGGTTAACAGGGGCTAATTTTGTCTTGGGGGGATTCTCAATGATCACATAATTGTTCGATCATCCGATCGTTGGAACCACTCGGGATATGGGGTGTGGGGAGTGGGCCAAGGGAGCTTAAGCGCCTGCACAAATTGGTTTTGGGCACACAGAAGGGGGTTGTGCAGCCGAATTCCTACCGCTTCGGCTGTAGCCACCATACGACATCGAATCTGCCTCGATAGTCGATCACGAATCCGATACAGGGGACGGAATGCCTCGGCCACATTTATAGTGTGATTTGTTTCAACTAGGTGTGAAACCACTGCACTAGTGAGTGACCCTGAGTGACCTGAGCGTTCCTACATTTAGCCATGTGGGGTGGTGTTCACAGTTGTTTTGGATGTTCCACTGATTCAATCAACCGGAAAAGGTAAAGGCTTTCGTATTTCCACGGGATGCCGCATGCATAACTGGATCACAACTTTTTCAATCCATCTGAGTTGATCAGTGCAACAAAATTCATCTTGATTTTCTCAATACAGAATCGAAAACCGTGGTTAAATTATTCTTACATTCCATATTTTTACCGGTCGTTATTTTCAACTGTCAGATAAACTTTTTAATTCCACAGAGAGAAAGGAAAGTCGTGCGACATCCCTATCTGTGTGGCGATTTTCTTTCAGTTGAGGTTTCTGATACTAATAAGCTTGTTAACGCTTTCAATTGTATAAGATGATAACAAATATGAATCCTTGTAACAGAGAGTAACTGTTATATTTACAGATGCCTTAGATAATATCTACTATATCAAATGAATATGAAGTGCATGATTTCGATTAAGTCCTTAAATCTAACTGTGATGCAAAGTTTCCATTTTAGAATGGATTGAATGTTAATACAGAAAAGCTTTTTTGTGTGAGAAGTTTTGAGTTTTAGCTCATTTAGGACAGTTCGTTAATCATGTAAACTCAGTGGTACTCATCACTGGTGAACCGTGGGGGCACTGCACAGCTGTTTCATCCGATTTATCGGGAATCCTTAGGAATTCATATCCGCCGAATCCGCTGTTATGTTTATGAGACGCAATAATCATTTTGGTTTACTGAGTTTCCTACATGTAATGTCAACCCGTCGTTGTCCTTGAACTTGCCGACTTCATCACACAGTTTACCTGAGGAAATTCGTGCTCCATATTTACGAACTTCTTTCTCAGAAGTGGCGCATCAGGAATTCGATTTTTCCGCGATGATGTCTGTTTCTTCCAATGACGGTATTAACAGATGAGCACTACGTGACGAGTTGGCTCAGAACAAGTTGCGTAAAACCAGCCCTGATAGACCAGTTAGTTAATTTCTTTTGTTCTGTTCGCTCATTTTCCTCATCTGTAGCTGCAAGGTTGTCGGATAACTGCTTCGACGACACTGTCAACTCTTCATAAACATGAATGACAATCAAAACACGTGAATACTAGTGCAGACCTTTTGTGGCACCGCAAGTAACTTCGTACCCATAGACTTTTAGCGTTGTTATCAGTTAACTTCCCGAGTCCCAACAGTCGCAGTGTAGTCTTATCCAGTCGGAAAGTCACATTGGGATTACCGCAAAGCAAAATAAACTGGTAATGCATAATTTCATTTTTAAACACCTACAAGGAACACTAGTTATTCACTGACTCACCGATCAGTCCAACAACGTAACTACTCCAATTGAGGGTCGGCTTTCTGTCTTGGTAGACCGTTGATAGGTCTTGGTTGACATTGCATCAGTTGATCGTCCCCGCTTGTAAATCTCAACCTAAGACGAAAGTCTTTGTGGCGGAATAAAAGTACAGCCTGGTGGTTGGGAGGTGTCTTTGTGTGAACCATAAAAAACGGTTAAAATATGTGTCACACTGCAGTGTGCTCAATATACTCTTTGCCTGATCGAGCCGACGACTTTTGCGTCTTGGGTTTTACGAGGTAAGTTTGTTACCCTCTTCTTTTTTGGGGGGTTTGACATCAAGGCTTTTCAGTTCATCAATAAAAGATCCATGGGATGATTAGAAAGGACCCGAACAATCTCCAAATGGCTACAGGTACGAAATGCCTTGTCGGACATTAAGCCTTCATTGACACCGCAAACACTAGCACACTCTATGACGTGGAGACGAGGCATGAATAAATGCACAGATCGCTTAAGTGGTGTTCAAAAGACTCCGAAACCACATGGTTGGAGACACTGAAGGTCATGGCTGCGAACCGACAGTAATGGTAATCATGTTGTCACTTCTTATCAGACCAGAATGAAATAGTATGTATGCACAGTTGGACTGTGTATTCTGTGTTGACCACAGAGGTTCGTTTTCTTTTTCCGTCCCTAAAATGAAGTCCAATCCCTATCCTTCTGACAGATTCTCAGTTATCTTTTATGCAATGTGAGTTTGGCAGCGATCAGTGAAGTTCGCTTCACTAAATTACGCTGTACAATAATGATGGTGATGATGCACTCTATCATTCCGAAATCGATTATGGCCCGCTCGTGTTCTGCTTTTGCGACTGGCAGGTCTTTGTAACCACTTGATTGTTCGGTTCTTTTTCACTCATCCTGCATTATTTGATATGGACTATGCACTAGATGACTATTCGCATGATTCTGACAACCAGTAATGTAAAAATATTTTGTTCACCAGGTAAGGAATTGATGGCTTTTGAGGTTAACGAAAAGAAAGTGGCAAAAATTATCACGGAAGTATCGATTGCGCGTCGGGATGCTGAAAGGGTAGGTCTACCATTTTTCGAAATGCAAACATCGCGTACTCACAGAAGTTGGATGAAATCCGATTCGATGAGAAACGAGAAATAAACAAAGCAAAGAAGGTAAGCGATTTGCTTTTTTGATCTTCGATTTTGTTAGATTTTGAAGGCTGCGAGCTCTGATTGACCCCCATCTCCCCTAAAACGCATTGTCCTCCACCGATTGTGTAAATAAACATTTATCCGAGCCATCTTTCATCCTGTGTACAACGGCTGAATGGGAAGGAAGATATTTTCACAGGTTCCTCGATCTGGCGATGTTCCTTAGATACGTATGCTACAACTCAGTTTCAGTTACCTCAAATGCGTAAAAGTTCGAGCGCGAATAGGCTGTCCCCAATGACTTTTAATTATTGAGTCAGCCTTGGTTTTAGATTTGACGAAACTCCAGGGAACAGCGAGAGAGACGGAACAGGTTCCAACTGAATAGTGTTAATCGGTCATCATACCGATTTACAAGAAAGGTAACAGATCCTTTCGTGAAAACCACAGAGGAATTAGTTTAATCAACATTGCCTCTAAACTTCTCACTGATATACTCCGTTGATTGTCCGCCGCACGTGAACGGTTTATGCGTGAGAACCAGGCTGGTTTCAGACCTGGTCGAGGTTGTATACACCATGTTTTGGGGCACAGACACACCTTTCAATACTCCTGGATCTGAAAGCGGCTTTTGATTCAGTCGACCGCTCCAAAGTCTGGTGCTGCCTCTCTCTGAAGGGTGTCCCGGTTTACTGTAATATTACGATCCCTTTGTCCAAGCCAAGGTCAGGCCTACGCACAATCCGCGGAGTTCACTGCAGAGTGTTGTTCGTCAGGGTTGCTCTTACTTGCTTACTGTTTAAGTCTATCAGATTTACTTTTTGAAACAGTCATATCCTCGTGCGAGGATGGCGGTATCGGTTTGCTCTCAGGTGGTAGGCTGCCTGATATGGAGTATGCAGACGACATTGTACTACNATGGAGTATGCAGACGACATTGTACTACTGAATGGAGATCCAGGTAAACGGCAAGCTTTTTCGTATAGTTTGAGTGATAGTGTAGCCATGTTCGGTATGCGTTTTGCACCTTCAAAGTGTAAAATGCTACTACAAGATTAGGTTGGTCCATTCCCCAACCTCATCCTGATTGGGGAAGTAGATTAGTTTTGCTATCTGAGCAGCTATATCTCACCTGTCGGCACGCATGCCGAAGCCTCTTGGCAATTGCCAACCTGAGACATCTGTGGCGCCGCTGCGACATCCGGCTGTCCGTGAAGGGTCGAGTGTATGCTGCAGCAGTTCGGCCAGTTCTGCTATACGACGTTTATTTACTGTACTCACACACCTCTGGTCGAGTGACGTTCACAACTAATTGGGCCGATCGTCACCAGCAGCGGCGTTTCGGCAAGGGTGCCCTCTTTCACCGTTGCTGTTCAATTTCGTCGTGGACGAAATACTGGAGAACGCGTTTAGTGGTCTCCAAAACGTAGGTATTGAATGGGCAGCTGGAGAAAAGCTGTGCGATTTGGAGTGCGCTGATGAGATCGGCTGTCTGTTCGAATGTATGGAGGACGTGTGTAGTGCACTTGATAGACTAACAATTGCTCTTGGCACATTCGGTATGTGCTTTGCACCTTCAAAATGATGCAAGACTGGGTATTGCCTACTCCCACTCCGAAACTTAATGGTCAGCGATTAATTATAGTGGAATACGTTTCTTACTTAGGTACTGGCGTGACCAATGACTTACGCGCCGCTAAGCAGATAGCCGTTCGCATTTCCGAGGCTGGTAATGGCGCAGTGGTTTAGTCGCTGTCACTAACGTACTTTGGACCTTGTGATCCGAGGTTCGAGCCCCACCACAGCCACCCGACTTTGGTGGTAGACAGCTCTGCTGTCGTCCGGTTCAATACCACGCCTAACCTATTGGGGCATTATGTGGTTCGCCACTCCAAGTCCCAGGGCTTAGGTTGCCTGTTTCCACTGAACAGCAGGTCCTCGTGACTATGGGGTTCACCCCGTCTGCTGCTCATCACATGTGGGTGTGTAATTAAAAAAAATGTTGGAGCAGCATACGCAGAACTGAAACACCTTTGGCGTAGGCGCGACGTTTCACGGAAGCTGAAAGGTCGTGTATCAGTTTTTACAAACATGAACAATGCACTTTCGTGTGCCGGTTTTAATTACTGTCTTTTGGAGCCCCATTTGGGTAAAAGAGCAGGAGATTGGAATTTTGAAAGCAAATTCAAGCGCAAGATGGAGAATTCATACAGGCTGGTGGTTGAAGGAAGTCAACAGATGACGTGGCGACGGGGTATGAAGAAATGCTCAGAGCCACTAAGTAAAGTAGGGGTCTCGCACCTTCCAAATTGGTATCCGAAAGACTCCGCAACTGGTTGGTTAGAGACATTGAAGAAAATGGTAGCAAACCGACAGCTGTAGCGTTCTTGTAGTTTCTCATCAGTCCAGAATGCTTGAAGTATGCAGAGTTTTATCATGTACTCTGTTGTGCCCACAGGGTTTCACCTTCCTCAAAGTAGGTACCATCCCTCAAATATTATCACTTTGTATGCATTGCGATCAGTGAAGTTCACTTCACTGTAGGACGGTGATGATCCTATACGGCGCACAGACTTGATCATTACGGGAACAGGATAAAAATAGATTATCCGTATTCGGACATTGCACAAGTCTGGTGGGGAAACCGGACAATAGAATTTTTAGATTAGACGTAGTTATAGGTAATCGCCGTCGCCCACTGAAGCAAGTGATCGACCTTCATAGATTACGCTGGTTAGGATGTGTTTCGCATGTTCCCAGATGGGTTGCCACGGCGAGCGTTGTTTGCTGAGGCAAGCAGCGGTTGGAAAAAGGTCAACGGTGATCCATCTACGACCTGGCATGTGGGTATGAAAACACTGATCAGGAGATTGGGTCGCATAGGTCCCGCTAGTTTCCCTAGTTGAGGACCCCGAGATCATGGTACCTTGTTATAAACACTGAATGTCACAAACAATGGCGCTCGCGCATCTACTCATTATTCTTGCAACCCCAGCATGTGAATTCCCTATTTTCTCCTTGAGTCCGCTCCCAGCATTGCAATTTTTCATTCTATTCTTTCATCCAGATGATCAGCCAAAATCTGCGCATGAAAATGCATTCTTTTAAAAGCTGAACTGATTTCCAGTGACTTGTCCTAGGGCCACTTCACGAGACCCAGAATTGGTGCGAGCCAACTCAGTGCAACAGGATTCAGTTATCGTGTGACAACTGTAACCTGTTTTCCAGTTGCGAACATCGAATAGCAGCTCGCGTCCACTGTTTAGTGACGCGTTCAAATTGAGGTCCATGAACAAGTGAATAATGTGGAATGCCTTATCAAGCAGTTTAAACCTCATCTAGCGGTAGAGTGCGGGTAGTCAATTTATTTTCGAGAGGCTTTTGCGTGCGCTCTGATATGCGACGAAACCTGCAGTCTGCCAACCAATCCCGTACACTTGCATCCTAATATGAGTCGAAACGTTCAGTTCAAACCCTAAACTCAAGAAGTATCGGTGCAGATTTACTAACAGTGGAATGCACTCTATCACAATTTCAGAAAGGTGGAAGCGGCCAATCAAATGGCTGCCATTCAACACAATGGGGAAAGTCGGGCGGTGGTGGTGGGATTCGAACACATCCCCGGAGTCATAATTCGGTGACGTTATCACCACCCAAGTGTACGCGACCAGATGGAATTAACCAAGGTCGAATGATGAAAGTTTTGGGACTTGACGAAGTTGCTATCATCTGTATGATGTCCTAGACCACCTGCATACGTTGAATATTTTACCAACGGGTATTTGGCTAGATTATGAACCTAGATAGGTATCTCTAACCCAAATCATTCAAACATCTTCATAATTACCCTTGAATCTTGTTCTTTAGACTACTACTACTACTTCTTGGTCATTGCGTGAGTTGCAAAACTTATACCGT